TATGCAGGACAGATTTGTACAGGTTGCCCTGATTCTTCCAGCCCCTCCTTGTTTCAATCATCTGGGGACCAGGAATCATCCCACTTTTGGTTTGAAGGCAGGCAAACTGAAAAATGCTGAATTGCATTTTCTCATTTTCTTCTCCCAAATTTCCTTCCTAACTTCTTTATTTTCTTCCTCATTTTGCCTCTCACCTAGTTTCTCATAAAACCCTCTAGAGCAGGAGACTTTTTTCTTTCCTTTTTCTATCTTTTTTTGTATGGGTTATTTGAACTTTTTCCTGCCTGGCAATGTAGCAAATTTATCTTAGAAATTTAATTTTTAAATTTTAGTCTCTTGTGTTATCCCCAGTACCTAAGAGATATGCACATAATTTTTGCAATATTTATTCTGGCACTTGATTCTCTCCTCTTTTTTTTTGTAGGGTCTACTGGTGTTTTTTTGTTTTTGTTTTTTGTTGTTTTTGTTTTTTTGTTTTTTGTCCAACAGGGACATTCTTTGCCTGGCTACAAAAAAATGCTGTGGGCATACCAGGATCATTGGAATCAAATTAGAATCTAAAGAATATGTAGAAGGAAAGAACTTCTGAGTCACAGTGAGCTTCTGGTCATGGCCTCAACAGATGATTCATTATAGTTTGAGAGATGTAGTATGAATTTTGTTGGAATCCATTGCCTCTACCTTAACTTGAATGTACCTATGGGTTTTTCCCTAGGATGTTACCCTCAAATGAAAGTTCAGTCAAGCTATTATCTTTCCAAATTTAGTTTTAGATATCTGTGAATTTGGGGACCACTCTGTAACCATTTCTATTTCTTTCCACTTTCCTAATTGGTGTTTCTACCTTATACATTTTTTTTATACAGAGTAGCAACACATTTGATGTCATTAGAGTTTATACATGAAGAATCTTTTGTGATAAACAAATATGACAACGTAGGAATTCCTTCTTCACTCCTCAAGTTTATTCCATTCCAACTGTAACTAAGTCAGAAATGTTGGAAAATTTTTACTGTACACTTCATTCAGCTTTGGACCTGGAAACTCAAAAATGCTTCCCGTAGTTTGAAAATGCTGCTCTTTTTCCACCTCTTATATAACTGAGGGTCCTTCCTTTCACTGAGTACTACTGCTATTTCTTCCTTCATTGACTCCCTGTAATTAATGCCTATCTCAGTGTTCATATCCTCTTCTTCTCTTTAATTTCTATTTTACTTTGATTGAAGCAAGTCTCAAAATGCAATTAATAGTTCAGTTGGTTTTAACAATATCTTTTGTTTGACCTGTGATAGAAACCTAATACACTATGATTCATTATATTTTTTTATCCTTACTAGATAACACATACACTCTTGGAACAATTACAATATTTTAGTATTCTTGCTTTAAAGCAATATGCTCACCATTTTTGTCATTCTTACCTTCTCCATGTTCCTTTGTTCTATTCTTTGCTTGAGTATTGGATCCACCAGATATACTGGAAGCACAAAGTTCTGTAGATTGCTTACAGACACTCTGGGGAAAGTAATACTAATAATAAGTTCATAAAGTTTTCATCATCACATATCACTTATCACCATATATATATTTGTGAAATCATCAGTAGTAGAAATTAGATGAGTGCATTTTGAACAAGAATATATTGTACAAGTTTCACTGTCCTAGGCAGTTCAGATTAACTGAGCTCATATATCATTCTGGCCACTGATTGAATAAAGCCAAGTTGAGGGACATAGGAACTGTGTTCCTTCAGAATATACACAATGACAAGCATATACACCCAAACAACTAGCATCAGTATAAAATCAGTAAACTTTAATGTGCCCAGCAGTTCTAACAATGCTTTGAAACACTTTTAAGAATGGCACTTGGTGTTCCATAGCATTTTAAATTGGAATGGCAAATTTTTTATTCTGAAAGAATGATACTTGGTAAGATGAGAGTTTCAATTCTGTCACATTGTGTAGGAATGATAAACTGTTGTACTTGCTTCTTTCATTCATCAGAGACTTCGAAGACTTAATGCATTTCAACAAAATATTTTCCAAGTCAAAACTTATTTTAAAAAAGTAAAATATACTGAGAAAGTGTGTCTCTATGTAACATGAACATGACAGCACACACACTTGTGTGAAGTATGCAACACTTTCATTGGAGAAGAAACTAAGAGGTATTTCAAATAGAAAGATGACTCCCATATCTGAAAAGCTGACTATTTGCAGAGGTGGGAGTCATTTGAACTGGTGCATTGTTGCTTGAAGAAAAAGAAAGGCTGTGGGAAATCACAGGAGTGGCACAATGGAGAGCCAGTGACCACATGAAACCAGAAATATGAGATACTCAAAGTGGAAATGCATTCGTGGAAGAAATAAAGTAAAGCTGGAGGAGGGAAAACTAGCTGGCTATGAGAGAGAAAAATGCTGACTGGTGAGCTGAGGAGAATCTCACCCATCCAATTAGGAAATGGAGAAAAGCAAGAGATAGATGTTCTCAAAACCACAAACACAACTTCTTTATAAATACATAAAATACATCTAGCATTCAGGAAAACACCATCCCAAACTCCATTGATATTTCAGCTCATGCCATCCAGAGAGGCATTCATCAAGACTTTAAATAATAAGTGCTGGAGAGGATGTGGGTAAAAATGTACAACCGTACACTGTGGCACTGAAAATCAGGACTTCCCATCTGAAAAGCAGTATGGAGAGTAATCAGAAGATAAGGAATATGAATATTCTGTGCCCAGGGTTCCCAATCCTTGTTCTTATATCCAATTTACAATGATTTTGTGTACACATGAGACACTGAAACTTTAATGTTTACAGTGGTTTCTATCATAATTATAAAGATATGAAATGAGTCCAGATGCACCTTAACACAAAAATGGATCAATCAACACCTAGAAACTTGGCACAGAATTTGAGCAAACTAGTTTTTTATGATACACCATCATGTCAAAATGAGTCCTCATATAGCATATAAAAACACTGCTCTAAAAATTTCTAAAATATAAAACATGGAACATCAAAATCCCTTAATTTTATACAAGGATGATATTTTAAAGCGAACAAGTAGGAAACTTATTATTCTAAGGCCAAATAGAACCTTTTCAGCAAAGGAAAGTCTTCATTTTTCCCCACAATATCAAAAAATATTTGATGTAATCCAAACCTTCCAGGTAGAATCTGAGTGTGTGTTCAGGAACCTCTCCACTCCTGTTACGTTATCGTGGCTTTCTTCTTGGGATATCCAGAAAACATTACCCAGTTTCTTCCTAACATTTGCAAGACTGAACTTTGCATAAAAATGGGGTTTGGTGGTACCCATAACCAGAATCAAGGTGGGAGCAGGAGAGAAACTTAGACATAGAGTTGCTGAGAGAGCTGGGCACTTAGAGCATGGACCTGTAGTCTATGATAAGAATAGTAGTTCATGGCACTGTCATGCATCATGGTGCTTGCAGCTCTGTGACAGCAAGGGCCAAGGCTAAATCTGATAGACAAAGGGCAGCCTGCAGTACCATAAACATGAAATGAATACTAGGCATGGTCAACCTAGTCTACTGAGAATAATTTATAATACCTATACCCCTATTAACATTACACAGGCAATCAAAGGAACCCTCTTAAGAATTTCAATATTGTCCTGAGTACATGGGCTCTCAGTGGTGTCTCAGCAGGAAACACTGCATCCCTTATACCTCCATGATTCAGTAGCCAGGTATCCTCCCACAATTTTAGATGGTTACTCATCATAT